TCTCTCTCTCTCTCTCTCGCAAGTAAGTACACATGACACTCTAATATATACAGTAATTACATAGTTCAAATAAGAGTATACAACCGGGGAATCATATCTCGTTAGTTGAGCCAATCAAGTTACCATTCTGGTGTGGAAATACATGTACACCAAGGGAGGGAGGTATGTTGCATGTTTTAAAGTAGGTCACTTTGACCTACATTTTGACCTTTTACTTTCATAATGCAGAAAAATTGACCTTTGGTACCTCCTACACTATGTATACAAGCTAGGTTCACAAAATTTGGTTTCTAGTCGTATCAACTATCATGTGAAGACAGAGTGCCACTTCACTAGAGAGTTTTCACTATTGGGCTTTGGAAATTGACCAAATATGCACACACTGTAAATACTTGGGCTGCTATGTCTTTCATTGACAGTTTGAGTTCCCCGTCAAGAATGTGATACGTCTTTATCCTCTGGATTGCACGCTCAATGTGAATCCGGACATTGGAGATTCTCTCGGAAACGGCTCCTTCACCTGCACTAAGCTGTGGTCTGTCCGCCCCTTTGAAAGCTGGCATGTGCAGTTTAACCCCCATATCACTAAGGATGCCCTGCACCAAGAATCCTCGGTCTGCCATCACTGAACCTTTCTCCGTCTCCAAATTTTGTAGCAAATCTGCTGAATCTGAGGTTATAAACTTGTCAGATGCTCTCCCACCATACATCCTACTTACATAGGTGATGCCTAGCTGTGGGCTAATGCCAATCAAAAATTTGTAGGTATTGTGATGTTTGTAATTTGAAAATAACTGTTTCCTGACATCCAATTTACTTGGGTTCTGTACAAAAAGTTCTGTACAGTCCAAAATCACCCGGACATCATCAAATGAGCCCATAGCTGGAGATGGGTTTGTCTGGGTAACCGACTTTGATGGCAGCTCACAAAGCATTTTCAGATCAGTGTACATCAGATTTACCCAAGTTGTTACTATGGATGATACACTTCCAGTTGAGATGTTGAACCTCTGTGCTAGATCTTCTGTCAAAAGTCCCACTTTCAGTCTGACCATTGTCAAAAAGAATTCATCGATAAGAGAAAGTTTCCTGTCTGGTCCTGGTTTTGTGGTGAAAGACTTAGTAAAGTGCCCTGTCTCCGCAGTTGCACTCCCTCGCCAGTACTGCATGTTCCTGGCACGTGGCTCCAGAAATTGAAATAATGCAAATAAAGTGTCATAATTTGTAAAACCTGTCCAAAACTGGATCCGCTTCGGGACGGGAATCCGCTTCGTTACAATAAATGAAACAGTTTATCACCTATATCTAATGACTTTGTGGGAAACGGGTATATATACTGAGGGTAATTACAATATCAATAGAAAAAGCGATCAATTTGAAACAACTTAACATGTTATAAATTTTTTTCATGTAAATGTATTTGAGGTATATGTTCGGATATGTATTTAAGTCTGTATGTGGTTTATCTTTAAAAAAAAAAATACTTATTGTATTATGGCATTCAATGTTTCTGTGTACATTGTAATTTGTTGTGTGAGCGCATGACCAGCATGGCCTTGTTTTTTATGAATAAAAGACTTGACTTGAACTTACAACATTTTATATCAATTGTAAGTACTTCTGGATTTTAGAAGGGAAAAGGGGCGGGGTCAGGTAATGTTTATATACTATGTATGTTTATCTCTTACATAAAGGGCGAGTCTGTTTTGTGTCTGTCTGTCTGTCTATCTTCTCCCCTCCGTGAAGAGGTCACCCCAACATAATATATTTCTGAAATCAGCATAAGGCGACGGCGACGGCGACGAACCAAAAAATATAAAAAATAAAAAAACTAATACAAAAATCTTAAAATTAAAATTAAAATTATTTATTATTTTAATAAACGTTCTGCGCGTGGCGCGCTATATAACCCTCCTACTGCATACGCGAATTTTCGCGCGGTGTTTGCATTTTTACCGGTATTTTTGTAGCTGTGTTGTCGAATTACAGCGACAATAAACGAATTATTAGCCTTCGAAGAGACACGAAGCGTCGTAGACGACTACCATATAGGTATAAAAAAAACATTCGTGACGTTTCGTTTCACCGGTCATAGCCGGTGACCTATGAGTGATACCGCGCGTAAATTAATTAATTAGACTAATTAATTAGCACGTAATTAATTAGACTAATCGTGCTTCAATGGACAATAGACTCAAAATTCAGAGAGATTAAGGCTAAGACATGTGACATGATGTGTCTATAATAGCTAGAATTTATAGAATTGTAACTCAAATCGTTCGCTCCATATCATAGTTAGTATACCTACACGTTCCTACCGGTCATAGCATAATAACGGAAGTGGGCGGGGTTTTTATTCTTCAATCACAGGTCGGAGCAATTCCTCTGTTTAGACGCATGTATCAGCATGACGCGACAACCATTTTAGGTTAAAACTCTTGCTGCTGCTTTTAAATAAATTGCTGTAAAAATGCTCTATGTATAACGATAATATAATAAAGTAATATAAACGCAGCATATTATACGAACGTACACAATAATCTGATGGCTGACCGTAGCCTTGGACGTTTTGGTTAGAATGGGTTCGCGGCCCACCTGTTTCTGACAAGCGGTGCGAGTTTAGCGGGCTGGACCAGTCTACTTCCTGGCTAGCATTGGTTTTATAATTTTATGACGTAATGGCGATGTCACGTGCCGATGGAAACGGCTGTGATTGGCCATTTGTAAAGTGTCGCCGGCGAAAGTCGCTGGAAAATAGAAACGTTTCAAAATATTTTTGTCATCGAGGTTGCCGTCGGTCGTCGTCACACACACACCCGGAGCAATTCCTCTGTTTAGACGCATGTATCAGCATGACGCGACGACCATTTTAGGCCCAAACAAAATCAAAAAAATACAAAAACTACAAAAATCTCAAATTAAAATTAAAATTATTTATTATTTTCATAAATGTCCGCGCGGTCGCGCTAGTATACCCTCGCTACTATCGAGTGCATGTTGTTTGCATTTTTACCCCGGGCATCGCCGGGTAGCCCAGCTAGTAGTACTAGTAGTAGACTAGTAATACTAGTAGTAGTAGTATATCTATATGTTTCTCGAGTTCCTGTGGCCAGTGTGGGATAGTATTTCAACTAAGTGAGATTGTAATTTAACTGAAGTGAGCATGCATTTCATCGGTTTATCATCATAACCACACGTACATATACTAATGTACCGTACCCCCTTTGAAATGGTCGGAACAGATGCGATGCCAAGATTTACAAGTCCAGTCATCTCGACGAATCGCAGAAATCCACAGCCTGTGCTGTTTGGTGCCCTCGGCAGGAAATCTGTAATAGGACCTCTTCTCTCCAATTGACTTGTCTTTGCCGCTCTGATTGTGACATCCCGGCACACAACAAAAACTCCCACCTGCCTTTGTTCTTCCTCCAAACGCTCTATGGCCAGTGGACTGACTGGTGGAACCACATGTTTCTGTGTTTACATCTCCACTGACCTCGGCAGCCATTACCGCGGTCATGCATAAACAACCGGAACTACTCCAGCGCGCGTGGGATGCCGGGATACCCTGAAAGACCGTATGGACGCCTTTAGTCGTTGCTCCATGCCTAGGAGATGACTCTCGTCGTCTTCGTTCTCTGGAATGGCAGAGGTCAAGTCCTTCGAACGTTTGGAGCGAGACATCCCCTGGCCAGGTGGATGGTGGAGTTCAGTAGGCTGAGAAGATGTAGATGTAGATCTAGAATTAGATGTAGTCCTCATAGATGGTAGTAATAGAGTGAGTAGATGATCGGTTTGCTGAACTGGTGAGTGGTGAGTCCCCGTCAACAGTCCCGGTCAACGCCAACGGTGTTGCGGTGATATATGTCACTTCCGGTTGTTTACTTCCGTCTTTACCAGATTCTTTTAGTCACTTCCGGCTGATTTTTTTTTAAATAGATAGCGGACTCGGCCTTATTTTACCACAGCCTCAGGTATGTGTCTGATAAAAACACACTGATTAGTATATAGTAGCAGTACAGGTGATGGTTGCTCCGGATTTCGTGGGTTCCGGAAGTGCCGATGGAGAAGGAAAGAATGGGGTAAATATGGTGGGAAACTCACAGGCAGGGTTAGCGTTAGGGTTAGGGATACAGATAGGGTGAGGGTTAGGGTTAGGGGTAGGGTTACGGTTAGGCCGCTTTTTCAATTCATATTCTCGTTCTTTCCGCATATGCAGTAACAAACACATCAATATTAATACATAGCAATAACACATGTTTTAGTCTTCACATGTATTTCCATTTATTCGTTATTTACACTGTACTCTTTCGCCATATCAGTCATCAAATTCCCGTACATCATTCTTCGCTGCCCGTACATTTCGCGATACATGAACTCGTCAAGGACCGCTGGTAACATAGTCTTCCCCACGCCTTTCATGCACTTTATCCTCGCCTTCGCCGCACTCCATAAACCTTCAATGGTGTTCGTACACACACCTTCTTCGGAAATAAACTATTTTTTGTGGCATACCGTTTCGTGCCTATACCCCATTTCGCCTAAACACTTGTAACTTGCAAACTCGTCAGAGTAAATGGTACTGCCGAGTTTTACATGCCTTTCTATAAGCGGAACTAACGTGGTGCGTTTCCTATCCTTGACAATGTACACGACGCATTTCTTTGTATGTCGCTCTACGATGCCGAATACCCATTGGTTTGCTGGCGGAGCCTTGCTCTGCCCCCCCCCATGCCTGCCGCAGGCTAAACGGCAGGAGGATATTATGGGGGAGCCCACATCACCGGGGTCTTCATCCTACGACTCCCTAGCTACCCTACACCCCTATTCAATCATCATTCGTCCCATACCATCTAATGAGGCACACACGCTCACACATATACACGTCACGTCATGTTCATTGATGCAGTACACGCCTGTAAATCAAAGCCTATTGAAACTCCAGCGTGCACCAACTACCACGTCGATGACTGTCCATAAATCGAAGCTCATCTGGTAGAATTGGCGGGAAATTGACCAGAGTAGGTGCAGTCAGCTGGTATGTATAGCTTCACGTCACACTAGCTACATTCGCGAGCTATTTTACTGATAAAAATGTTTCCGAACTCGTGGCTATGTAGGACTATATGTTGTAGTGCGATTTGAAGGTTGAAGATTTGAGTGTAGGGTCTTGTAGAGTCGATAGCGTGGTAGCGATGTAGCAAATAGCAGATTGTAGCAAAGTAGATGAGATGTAGCGAAGAGTCGTTCGGCGGATGATTGCAGAGTCATGTTAGTCAGGTTCTAAATGAGACAGAGTCGCAGATTAGTTGTAGGTAACTCTGTCTTTATTACTTGACACATATGCAAATATATACACTATACGGCAACCTAGGTAACCATGCCTAGGTTCCGCATCTCGTCTCCGTAATCTCCTTTACATGATGTTGCCTCTCATGAATATATGTTTGCTCTCTCTCTCCGAGCGCCCATTTATATCGATTCCAAAACGGGCAGAACGTCACCACAATCCAACCAGTTTTCGTCAATTACCGGCCGGGCCCTGATGGGGCTAGGGTGCGCGGTGGTCCCGAATACGATGTTCCACACGATTATCTCAATAACAACAACAATCTACCAGGGCCAGAAGCACAGCACAATTAGTCCCACTGCCTCGTATGGTTAGAAGCCCCTTGTTAATTAGTTGCAATATGTGCAATACGACATTTACAGTGATTTTACGATGTAGCTTACCTTCGTCGCCGTGTCATGTCTCGTTCTTCTTCCTTATATGCTTCCTCCTGTTAGTTTCATCTGCTTCTCCGCTGCTCTTCTGTTAGTTTTTCTTCTTCTCTGTCTTCTCATCTAAGGTTAGTTCCTCCATCTGCTGTTCCTCGGCTGCTACATCTTCGTCTTCCTCCGCTGGGCTGGGGGATATCTTTGGCCGACTGGTAGAGTCCTGTCCTTTTCGTCTTCTTGCTCTTTCGCACTATTAGCTGGCTCGGGGGATTAGCTGGGTAGAGGTAGCGAATGCAGATCGAAAATCATCCACCAATTGTTGTACTGGGGTTTTAAGGTCTTGTAGTCTCCTCGAGACACGTGGCTAGGGGTTAGGAAGCTATAAAGCTTATATAAAACCCTTGGTTTCAGGAATAGGCCCGGCGGGCCTCTATCCAATCTAAAACGTTAAATCCGACCTCAAATTTGTTCAAAGTCTATCGCGATATTAAATAGATCCAATAATTTCTATTGCTGGTTCGAAAGATATAGGCTATATCCGTGTCAAATAAAAGTTCATTTGGAAGAAATAGATTGTAGCAAGTAGCAGCGTAGAGCCTCGCAGATTAGATGTAACTGACGTTATTAGTACACTCGAACACA